TCTCTCTTATGATTTCCCGTGCGGAGAAGTTGGGTTGTATCCAGGGGCTGTGAATTTCTCGGAGAGCACCTTCTGTTTCCCATCTTTTCTTTGTTGATGATGCTTTACTGTTTTTTCGTGTCTCCCCGGAGGCTTGTGATCAGGTCTTGGATGTGATTAACAGGTTTTGTTCAGTTTTTGGTCAAATGATTAATCTCCAGAAGTCCTTTGTGAAGTTCAGTTCTAATACTCTTGAGGATTATTGTCAGTACTTGAGTTCTGCTTTGAAGATGCAATCACGATCTTCTTTTGGAACTTATTTGAGTCTTCCTGTGGATTTGGGACGGAGTAAATGCCAGGCCTTTCAACCATTGGTAGATAAAGTTGTTTAACGTCTGTCAACTTTTACATCCTTGCAGCTTTCTGCTGCAGCAAAATTGGTACTTTTCAATTCGGTGTTGGTGGCTTCTTTTACTCATGTTCTCTCGGTGTTCAAGCTTCCCTCTACTATTTGTGATCGGATTGATAATCTCCTAGCTAGCTAGATTTTGGTGGTGATCAGGTAGCTCCTCCAAAGGTCTGGCTCTTGTTCCTTCTCAGGCTCTTCAGTTGCCAAAAGGTCTGGGTGGTTTAGGGATTCGTCACCTTGCCAGCTTTAATTCTGCCTTATTGGCCAAGCAGTCTTGGCGCCTTGTGCAGAATCCTCAACTTTTGATTTCTAGGGTGCTAAGTGCTAAGTATCCTAGACTTTTATAGTATAATGCTTCTATTTCAGTCTCTCGTCCTTCTTGGGTAGCAGGAGCTTACTTGAGGGGACTAGAGTACTTTCGAAGGGGATAGCCTAGAAGATCGGTTATAGGTTGAATGTGAGCATCTTAGATGATAATTGGGTTCCTGGGATTGAGGTCAAATTTAAGGACTTGGTTCCGATGGCCAATCGTCCTTTGTTGGTTTATGAGCTTATTGATCCCAAAACTCATTAGTGGGATATTACCAAGATTCATAGCTTGTTTCCTTCTTTGACAGCAGCTAATATTTTGGGGTTGGACAGGCCTAAGATGCAGATTGATGATTTCATTTACTGGAAATTTACTATGGATGGTGCCTTCTCTACCAAATCGGCTTATGCTTATTTAGTTAGTCAGCTACCTTCTTCGAATGCCATACAAGGTATGCACTCCACTTGGTGGAAGAAGTTATGGGGCCATCCCATTTTTCCTAAGTGGAAACTTTTTACTTGGAAAGTGCTTCATAATGCACTCTTTACGGCTGTTTTGTTGCACACAAAAGGAATTCCAGTGGACCCGGCCCTCTGTGTGGTCTCTGCCACCAGGCTGAAGAAACTTGTTCTCATCTTTTCCGGGATTGTTCGGTCGCACAGTATCTTTGGGAATGTTATCCTTGGCCTTTTTCCATTCCGTTACTCTTGGATCAATCGTTTGAAGTTTGGTTTATGGAATTAATCTACAAGCTGGGATCCCTTAAGAAGTGGGGTGTGTTGGATTGTTTTTTTTGGTTTGCTTTGGGTTGTCTGGTTAACTAGGACCTCTGTTTTCGGTCGGAAGTGTATTCTCCAGCTTCTATTTTTGCTTTGGCTACTAGTTGGAGGGACAGGAGTTCTGAAGGTCGTGCTCTTTCTTCCATTTGGTTGCCTTCTTTCCCTCCAGGTTTTCCTTCATCCTAAATTTCTGTGCCTGTTCAGGATTTGCATGGGACAGTACATGATATTTGTCTTGTAGTTGATGGGGCTTGGGATCTTGGGGATCATCGTTCAGGTGCGGGCTGATTCTTTTTGACTGGTACTTCTTCTCCATGCTTAGGAGGAGGGGCTCAGGCAGTTTTCTACAATTTGGCTCTTCAATCGGAGTTATATTTATGTCTGCTGGGTTTACGACATGCTAAGGATAAAGGGTTCTGTAACATAAGGTTGTTTACGGATTGCAGTTCTATTCTACAGTTGATTTGGGGTCAACATGTGGAAGACATATCTGTTGTTTGGCTTCTGGATGAAGTTCGGTACATCATTTCTTGGTTTGCTACGTGCACCTTTTGCAAGGTCACCAGAATAACTGTGGATTATGCACATTGCTTAGCTGGATTGGCCCGTAGACGTCAGTTGCTTCATTTTCGTTTTTAGTTTGTTGTTTTTTTGTTAGTTCTCTTCGTCAAAAAGAAAAAAAAAAAACTAGAAGTATATGTAATTAATTTATAGATTGAGCAAAGAGATCTTAATATCCAAAATTGTTAGAGAACACAAATTTTGATGTAATTAGTCGCATCATTAGTTGATCATATTGTGATCAGTTCACAAACTTCACATATAAGACAATTATATGAATAATGGAGGTGACAAATTAAGATGATCAAATGGGCATGCAGAGATTACCCTGATAGATGGATTATTGATGATGGTTACTCTAATGATGGAAAATGAGGTTAGTTTTATAAACAATATAGCTAGAAATATTAAACATCTGAATGAACAAATAAATAGGGTTAGTTTACTTATTTTTAATTAACTAATGTTACTCACATATATACAAAATTAGGGTTACTACTCAACCTCATAGATAAAAAAAATATGGATATTATTAATAAATGGGGTTACTAATCATATATATGAATAATGAATCAAAGCTACACACTATTATAACATAAATTTGGTCATGTCATATCATGTGACTGTCTCGATTGGCCACATACAATACTTATTGATTTGAGAATGACGTGAAAAATATATATGTACAACTCATATAATTTATCTTAAGTTTTGACTATTTGTTACAAGTCCCTTACTTGTATAAATTAAATCAACTAATTAATTAATTAAGCATTTGTAACTACGGTATACATGCATTATTTTGAGTATTACTGTAATATTAGCTCCGATATTTTAGTTTGCTCACTATATATTTGTATTAGCTATTCACATACTCTCATTTAATTAATTATCTTTTGTAAATTACATTTAAGGAGAAATTTGGTCATATATGATCTTGTGAGATTTATCTCAACATTATACTTTTTAAGTTTAATTATAATATTTTCTCATAAAAAAAATTACTCTGTATTAATTAATTAATGACTAAACTTATGCATTGAGGGGTATGTAATTTGAATATTCAATAAAAGGGTTCGTCAAATATCATAGTAGTCGGATCGACAGATTTTCGTTGAAGAGAATTTTTGTTTTCATTGACTTATTTTTCTTTTTTATTGACTTATCTGGATGAACATGAACTAGTACAACTAGTCATTAGATTAAGATATGTATATGGTAATATGGATAAGTAAAGAACTACCGTAGCATTGTAAATCAAGTAAAGATGTACGTATGTGACCTTGTTAGTTCTTATCTAGATAGTTATTAGTTTTGTCCCACCTTGAAAGTCTAACTGGCTAATACAAGAGGGGGGGGTGAATTGTATTTGAGATGAAATCTAAAAACTTTTGCGGAATTTGACTAAATGAAATAATGACGAGAGAAGATATAGGCTTTTCTAAATTTCCACTACGTAATCAAACTCTTTACAAGTGAAGATTCAAACCCGTTAACAAGTTCCACAAATTAGGAACTTGTTCCCAACTCTCACAGAAGCCTTCAGCAGCGAAGCTTCCTTGACCTTACCTTACACAAACTCACAATCCCAAACCCCAAAGTGCTTCAATACAATCTGTAATTACAAATACCTATTGCACTCAAGAATATATGAAGGAAAATAACTCTCTTTATGTTAGTAGGTTGCTACTGGAATTTTTATGCTCAAGAGTTGTGTTTTGCTGAGATAGTTTGCATGAGTATTTATAGAGAAGGCTTAGTCATTAACCTCCACTATAATCACGTCCACATGCCAACACCCCACTAACAACTTGTGGAGTTATCTTGACAGATGGTGATCATGAAGGAGGTTTCCTAGCCTTATCTCACTAATCCACTATCTCAACAACTTGATAAACATTAGCTTTGATAAAACCGTATAATCAGAGATTTTCACAACAAAGAAACTGCTTGTTAACTTTATCAAAAGTTTGTTTAAAAAGATTTTATTTCAAAAAGGATTTTATTTGAAAAGATAAATTAATTATTTATATTAAAACAACTAGATAATTATCTTAGATAATTATCTTTATTCGAAAATAGATGACTAGATAAAACTTTTATAAATCATCTTTTTTCCTTAAGAAATTATCTTTTAAAACTAACTTTTATTCCAGTAGTCTTTTTAATAACATAAGTCATTGAGTTCCTTTCCGACTTTATATTATTGAGTGCTCACAATTAAAACTAGAACGTGAGATTTGCACGAGGCTTTTTAGAGAATGCTACTCCGCATCCAAGTTCCTACTCCGGAACGAACTTTGCTTGAACCCTTTATTCACCAAAGACTCAAAACGTTCATTAGTCGAGTTTGTCAATTTGTCCATCAAAACCAAAAGGCTCAACAAATTCCCCCTTTTTGATGATGACAAACATTGACAAACTTAGGTAAATAAAATCATCCAGGCATGCAACAAAAATTTAAAGCAAAACATGAAAACAAAAAAACAAACAGAGTAATTAAAGAACTTAGAAAAATACTAAAAAGTATTTATTTAAAAAAGACTGAGCAAAAGAAAAATTAACAAAGACTTTAAAAACTTAGATTACTAGGACTTTATTGAGTTAACTGAACTTAGCAAAAGTTTGTACCTTCGATGTGTGAGTTCCTTGGTAAACACCTTAGCCGCCATGAAGTTTGTCTTTTCCCCCTTTTGGCATTATCAAAAGATGAAAAAAAACATTTAACTATACTCCCACTAGACTACGTAGGGAATAGTGAGCTCAAATAATGCAAGGCAAAAATAAGTGAGGTACTAAATTATCAGCAAACACACACAATCATATGAAAAATACGAGCCAAGTTCCCATAGACGAAAATCAAAAGCAGGAAAGAGTAGCAAGAGTTAAGAATTTCAAACTGAAATCCAAATGAAACAAGCAAAAGCAAAAGAAATTAAAAGTGACAAGTTCGAAATTGCAATTATGGGGAATAGGTTGGTTCATCAGCTGGGTTTATTGGGTCATTAGAAGCTTCCTCCACTTCTTCAAAAGCCACCCTGTTAATCGTCTCCAATATCTCCTGAGTGCTGTGCAGTATGTTCTTCGCAGCAGCATCAACCTTGTTCTCCATCCCAGTAAAACTAGTTGCCTGAGTGTCTGCCACAGCCTGCACTTGGCGTTGAAGAGAAGTCAGCTGCTTTGCCATTTCCTCCAGCTTTGTGCTCACTATCTTTGTCAGCTGCTCCAGTACTGTTTTCACTTGTTGAATATCAAAAATAGAAGCATTTGTTCCAGAGAAGGCAGCAAAGCCTGTAGGCTGTGATGTAGGAAAAGATGGGGAGGGAGAGGTAGAAGTCTGTTTTGGAGGTGAAACAGGAGTGGAAGAGGGTTTAGCTTGTTTTGGGGGGGAGTCATGAACAGAAGATGGCTCAGAAGCAAAAGGAACTTGTGTAGGGGTAAAATCAGGGTCAGAGTGATCTGAAGAACTAATGTCTTCAATAATCACAGGCTTTAGAGTAGAAACAGTAGGTTTGACAATTTTCCTCTTACTCCTCCTGAGTTCCCCTTTAAAAGGGAGGTCAAGACTCTCACTTTCTGAACTAGATTCCCCCTCACTCTGAGTCTCCTCTTCTTTCTCAGGTTCTGCCTCCTGTGTTTCCCCCTCAGAAATTTCTTCCCCCTCTTTGTCTTCCTCTCCTTTTTCTTTACTTTCTTCTTTTTTAGATTCACTTTCCTCCTCTTCTGACTCACTTGTATCTCCCTCTACAACCTGTGTTTTCCCTTTTCCACTATTTTTCTCCTCTCCTCCTCTAGTCAAGAAGGTAATTATCCCACTCTCAAGTTTAAGGCTCAGGCGAAGCAAAGATTGCTCCGAAAGAATGTTCTCAGGTTTAATATAAGTGGGTGACTCACTTTCAACATCAATCCCAAAAGACTTAAACAACACAGTAAGGAGAGATCCACATGGAATAGTAGTTTTAGCAGCATAGAAAACCAAATGTTCAATCATCAGTTTTGGAAAGTTTATTTTTATTTTCCGAGCAAGACAAAAGATGATGGTTGCATCTAGTAAGGATATTGTGCTTCGTTTTTGCAAACGGGGAACAATGCCTCTCCATGTGAAATTGAACAGTAATTTGTGAAGAGGAGTGAGTATGTTATGATGTGAAGTCTTGCTTTTCGGGTTTCCACCTATAAATTTGATTATTCTATTCTCATCATAATGCCCAATTTGCACAATTTGTTTGTGTTTTAGGTACGAACTATAGCCAGAGGTGGGGACTTGAAACAAGTTCCCTAAATATGCAACATCAAAATGAATGTAAGTATCTTTGACTGTAGCCGTGCATACACCATTGTTGTGTTTGAAAGTATTTTTAAATTCAAACAGAAGCTTAGGGTAAATTGGATAGTGAGAACAATTTTGGAACAAATGCACCCATTCTTGATAATCAATTAAGGAGGTGAATTCGGAGAACTTACTTGCCGTACACCAGTCATAATTGATGTGATATCCGTGAGTGTAGTTCCAAGATGGAAACTTTTGAGAGCTTCGCCTCTTCCTGTCGCCTCCTTTCACGGTTGTAGCCATTCTCTTTGGTGGAGCTTTTGGGTGAACGACGACAATTGGGACTGGTTCAGGGGAGCCGTCAGCAGAGGAAGGTTTGGGAGGAGGTATTCGGGTTTTTGGTGGTTTCGGTGTTGAGTTTAGGTTGGTTTTCATGGTTATGAAGGTGAGTTGAGAGGAAGGAGAAGATGAATAGTGTGAATAGGAAGGAGAGAGAGTGAGGCCGGTTTTTATGAGGGTGTATGGAGAAGTTAATTTGATGTGATTGGTGAGGGTGGAGTGTTAAAGAAAAAGAGTTTAATTGGGAAGGGTGAGAAAAAGTGACAGTTTATGGTGAGGTAGTAGAGTAGTTTTAGAGGTAGTAGGAATTTAATAGGGTGGATTAATTGCAATTTTCAAACTTAACACAATAAAAGATAAACTTTTAAAAGATAAGAAATATACGGAAAGTAAGGAGTAGTGAATATACTAGCTCCTTATCTTACGAAAAAAAATATTTTTGTATTCCTCATTATTGAAAAAGAATTGAACATAGAAAAAAAATAAGGAAGGAAAAAGATAAGAATAAAAAAAATAAGGAAGGAAAAAAAAAGATAATAACAAGAAGGAAAACAAATTTAAAAAGATAGATAAGTGCAAATTGATCGTAAATTATGATGATAATTTACGTGATCATAATACAGAGAATAAAGAATGATGAAAAGGGAACTTGAAACAGCATGGCTCAATATTTTTAACATATTAAAAGTATGTATAAGTGACTTTTCAATACTTCACAAATCTTTCCCCTGGGTAATTTCAGCTGTGTTATGCACACAAGATTGAGCATAGCATTGTTAGTTACATCCGATTTTACCTTAGGGGTTCCAAACAAAAATCACTTTAGCCGTAGCATCCCCAATTCCACACGCATCTTTTCAAACTTGTCTCTGCTTAAAGGCTTAGTTAATATATCAGCAATTTGACATTCAGTAGAAATAAAATCTAGCTTAATTAAGCCCTTTTCAACATTATCTTTCAAAAAGTGATGCCTTACATGTATATGCTTAACTTTAGAGTGTTGTACTGGATCTTTAGAGATGCAAATGGCACTTGTGTTATCACAATGAATAGGAACGCACTCTAAAATAATGCCATAGTCACGCAACTGTTGATTTATCCATAGCAATTGAGAGCAACATGCAGCAGCAACCACATATTCTGCTTCGGTAGTGGATAGAGCAACAGTGTTTTGTTTCTTGGAACTCCAAGAAACCATGCAAGAGCCTAAGAATTGGACCATACCTGACGTGCTTTTACGATTTACTAAATCTCCTGCATAGTCAGCATCAGCATATCCTCTTAGGTCAAACGAGTCACTTTTTGGATAGAACAGACACAAGTCTTCCGTCCCTTTTAAGTATCGTAGAATCCTTTTGACGGTTGTTAGATGCGATTCCTTTGGATCCGATTGAAATCTTGCACAAAGACCTACACTAAACGAAATGTCAGGTCTGCTAGCAGTTAAATATAACAAGGAACCAATCATACCTCTGTATTTTGTTTGGTCCACACGAGTTCCCTTGGGGTCTTGGTCCAACCTTATGGTTGTTCCCATGGGAGTGTGGTTTATCTTTGTGCTTTCCATACTGTATTTTTTCAATAACTCCTTCACATATTTCTGCTGATGGATCATTATTCCTTCGTTAGTTTGCTTAATTTGGAGCCCAAGGAAGAAGTTGAGTTCCCCCATCATGCTCATCTCAAACTCACTGCTCATTAAATCGGCAAAGTACTTGCACAAGGATTCATTAGTTGCACCGAAAATAATATCATCAACATAAATTTGTACAATTAATAAATGAGTTCCTTTTGATTTTAAGAACAAAGTTTTATCAACTTTTCCTCTTTTGAAATCATTTTGTAAAAGGAATTTAGAAAGTCTTTCATACCATGCTCTTGGAGCTTGTTTTAATCCATACATTGCTTTATCAAGCTTAAAAACATGGTTAGGAAAGTTTGGATCCTCAAATCCAGGTGGTTGTTCAACATAGACGTCTTCCTTTAAAAAACCATTTAAAAAAGCACATTTGACGTCCATTTGATAAAGTTTAAAACCCATAAATGCAGCAAATGCAATTAAAATACGAATTGCTTCTAATCTAGCTACAGGAGCGAAAGTCTCCTCAAAATCGATACCTTCCTGCTGATTGTAGCCTTTAACAACCAATCTTGCCTTGTTCCTTACAATTGTGCCATGTTCATCTAGCTTATTCCTGTATACCCATTTGAGACCAATAACCTTTTGATTCTTTAGTTTAGGTTCAAGGTGCCACACTTTGTTTCTTTCGAATTCATTTAATTCCTCTTGCATGGCAACAATCTAATCAGCATCTTCCAAGGCTTCTTTGTGATTTCGAGGTTCCAGTGTTGATAGGAAGGCGTTGAATGCACAAAAGTTTCTCAGTTGGGATCTCGTCTGAGTTCCCTTGCTTAGGTCACTTATAATTTTATCCAGGGGGTGTGACCTTTGATGTTTCCATGGCTTTGGTTGAAATGATTGAGCTGGTATAAAAGTGTTATTTTGAGTTGCTCTTTCTTCCATTTCTTCATGGTGTTCTGCTTCTGCATTTGCTTCGCCTTCTGTGTTTTCTGTTTCTTCTGTATTTTGAACAGAGGCTTCAGTATTATTTGGAACTTCAGTTGGTTCCTTATCAGTATTTTCAGTAATTCAAATAGGCTGCTTTCTGGGAATCAATTCTTCATCTTGGTCTATTGAACGAGTGAGACCAATTTCAAAATCTCCATCTTCATATTCCTGTATACAATCATAATTATTAGTTTCATCAAAAATCACATGTATACTTTCTTCTACACACATAGTCCTCTTATTGTAAACTCTATAAGCTTTACTATTAGATGCATATCCTAAAAAGACTGCTTCATCACTCCTTTCATCAAATTTTCCAAGATTTCTTTTATCATTATTGTGAACAAAGCATTTGCATCCAAAGGCTCTTAAATGAGCAATATTAGGTTTTCTCCCTTTTAACAGTTCATAAGGTGTCTTGTCCAACATTGGTCTGAGCATGGCTCGGTTGATGATATAGCATGCTGTGTTGACGGCTTCTGCCCAAAAATTCCTTGGAAGCCCACTTGCTATTAGCATTGTTCTTGCCATGTCTTCCAATGTTCGGTTCTTCCTCTCAACCACACCATTTTGTTGTGGTGTTCTTGGCGCTGAGAAATTGTGACTTATTCCCTGTTCCCTGCAAAATTCATCAAACTTGGAATTTTCGAATTCCGTACCATGGTCAGTTCTCATATGAATAAGTGGATTACCTATTGATTTTTGTGTCTTTTTCAAGAAAGTCATAAACATATCAAAAGTTTCATCTTTACTATGTAAGAATATGACCCATGTAAATCTAGAATAATCATCCACAAGAACTAAGACATATCTTTTTCCACTTCTACTTTGAATTCTAACGGGGCCACACAAATCCATATGAATGAGTTCCAATGGTTTTGTGGTGCTTACCATTTTCTTTGATTTAAACGATGATCGAACATGCTTTCCTTTGATGCAGGCTTCACAAATTTTGTCATTTAGGAACTTGATAGAAGGTAGTCCGATTACCAAGTCCTTTGAACTTAATTTGTCAAGCAATGAAAGACTAGCATGTCCAAAACGTTTATGCCATAGAAGTGGATCATCCTCAATAACACTTAAACAAGATAGATTGTACTTTGGAACTTTGTTAAGGTCCACGGTATACGTGTTCCCTTTACGAGTTCCTTCCAAAACGATTTTTCCAGTGTCATTGTTGATGATTTTGCATTTTTCAGAAGAAAAGCTTACAGAGTTTCCTTTATCACAAAACTGAGAAATACTGAGTAGATTATGCTTCAAACCCTCGACTAAAAATACATTGTTAATTGCATGGGAACTTGACCTTCCTACTTTGCCAACAGCAACAATGTTGCCTTTCTTATTGTCTCCAAAGGTCACTGTTCCCCCTGTATAGGCCGTTAGTGAGAAAAATCTGGATTCATCTCCTGTCATGTGCTTAGAACAACCGCTATCGAGGTACCACTGGTTGTTCCCCCTCACTGCGACCTGCAAAAGAAATTAAGGGTTAGTAGCAGGAACCCTTTCATTCATGGGTTCCTGTGTTGACACATTTGAATCAGTTTTCTTCTGCCAAACATAGTTCACATTCTTATTGTACTGATTTGCTTTCTTAGTACATTCTTCACTGCGATGTTCCTTTTTACCACAAAAAGAACAAACGGTCTCACTAGGTAAATTCACATACTTCTTTTTCTTTCCAGTGGACTTCTTCTTATGAACATAGCCTAGACCTTCTGTTCTTTTTGTCTGAGCTTCCTGTACCCACTTAGGAACACCCGTGCTTGCTTTACTTCTACTTTTTCTTGCAATTTCTAGGTCCTTTTCTAAT